GGCGCTTGGGGCACAGTCTCGCGGGGGCCGGGGAGGGGTGGGGGTGCTGCGCTCGTGCCCCTGGCTAAGGGGGGACGCTGACACCCCCTCTGGCAATCCAGGCACTAGGAGGACTCGCTGGTCGGTGGCTCCTGGTGCCCATGTGTTGGCCACCTTTGCCTTGTAACGGGGCAGGATTTGTGGGCTTCCCTGCAATTGGGGATGGGGCCAGGCTAAGCCATGGCATGTAGGGGTCCTAAAGCTAATGGAAACTGAGCATAAAACATAGGTGATTTGTGGTAGCACTTCAGGGGGTGCATTGCCCCTCTGTGCCCCTGCCAAAATTTTAATTGCTAACTGGGGTGGCCCCTCATGCTTCTTCCCTTTCCCTCTGGGCGGCTCTTCCTGCACCCCTTCCCATGCAGGCACCAGTCACCTTTGCGGTGAAGTGCCAGACCGGGGATGGGTGGGGGATCCACACCACCAGTGTCTTGAACCTGAGAGGGGGCCTAGGTTCTTGAAACCAAGTTCGTAGACAGTACTATGATTAATTCAGCAAACAATCAGTACACCTGTTAGACGGCGCCGTCTCCTTGTTACCTGGTTGTGCACACGTTCCTGGGTGTGCATTTAAAATTAAGTGTAGGCAGCTGAGATCCAAGGCATGGCAAAGCCTTTCCCTGCAATGTTTGCTGCTGTGAGGGCAAATATGAGACAAATCAAAAACAATACTGGCACTAGCAGAAAGCTTTCCATCTTCCATACGTTTTATTGGCATGACATGCAGTGGGGACAGATGCATCTCTGTTGTAACTCCAGGATCACTGACGTCAGTGACGTTACCCCAGGAATGAATTTGGCCCAGAGTGTTTGCAATGTTATTTGGACATATTGGCTCCTGGATAAATGAGAGACAAGATAGGTGAAGGAATATCTTTTATTGAGCCAATAAAGTTGGTCCAGTAAAAGGTATTCTTCCATGCTCTGAGAGGCAACAGCTGGTCATCCTGTCCCTATCATATTGCAAGGGGAAAACCAGGATTCCGAGAATAATTCTGCCACTCTATTCAGATGCCTGGCTAATGATTATAATGCAGTAAAACTGTTCTGTTAAAGACACGATCCGTACAGGAATCTACTTCTGGGTCTCCTATTGCAGCCCTCAGAACTGCTCAGTAATTCCTACTGCAGTCAGCAAAAGTGCTCCCACCGGCATTTTTTGTTGCTTTTCTGGCATTGGACTTTTCTTATCCACTGGTTGCAGTGTTGTTATTTTAGGATATCCATCCAGCTCCTCGCATCCCAAGAGTCAATGCCTCCCACTAATGGTATTTTTTTTAAAAAGGGAGACTATTCACCTGTGAATCTGCTTCTTGAAAATATCCTGCAAGAGTTTCACAGACCACTGTGATCCTGGAGCCGCCTTCTCCTCTTTGCACGGATGTTTCTGAGGTGGTGTCACTTTGCTTTGGTTTGTACTGTCACATCCCTTGGGATGTTTTTGTAGACATTTTATTTCTACATGGAAATAAATTGGGTGCTCTTGTTTCCTGCACAGCTCAGGAACTGAGTAGAAATGCTCCAAGGGCTGCAACTGCTGATGCAGGCTGACCAGGAGGAGGATCTTGCACTCTAATTACCACTGTGTAAGAGGGCCAAAGACTGAAAGAATCTGGAGTGAGAACCCTCTGTCATTGTAGCTGCAAAATAGTAGAAATTGCCAATGAGAAATGTTTCCTTGTTTGCCACAGCAACGTACTCTTAGAATCCTAGGGAGGGAGGAGACCTCAGGAGATCATTGAATCCAACCCCCTGCCTAAAGCAGGACCAACCCCAACTAAATCACCCCAGCCAGGGTTTTGTCAAGCCAAGACTTAGAAACCTCTAGGGATGGAGATTCCACCACCTCCCTAGGGACCCATCCCAGTGCTTCACCATCCTTATAGGGAAATAGTTTTTCATTTGGTTCACAACTACATGTACAAGTAGGATCCATTTTAAAATAGAATATGGAATGAGGGCAGTTTCTACATATTGTTGGCACTTAAGTGACATTTACCCCCATCACTTTTTGAAACTCTAGTGTTTATTATTTACCGTATATTAGTTATGCTTGTAGTCCCCATTTATGCTGCCTGGGTGTGAATAAAAATAATTAATACCAAACTAGAGCCAAGGTGCTTTTGACCTTGCAGAGTAGTGCTGAGATGAATTCGTACTACACCATGCATGTTCCTATGCATGCGCCTGTTTTTTCCAGATATGTATAAATATTCATAGTGTTAAATGCTGGTGTGATCCAGTTCTGCAGTAGCTAATGCGTGCCATTCTTGTTGAGGTCAGTGGCCATTTTGTTGGTATAAGAATTGATTGTGGGATCAAGGTCTCTGTTGTTTATCTAAAACCTCCTAATTAATATATGAGTTTCAAACATGCGCCAGAGTTCACAAACACTGCTCACTGAAATTCTGTTATATGTCCGTGAGTAACAGTGTGATCAGAACTCTCAAGAGGGTGCCTTTTAAATAACAATACGGTTAACTCACAATGTTAATGAAAGTGATGTCTGCGTCATGGTCAGTGTTGTAAAGAGTCCTTTGAAATAATGTTATTAGTTTAACTCGCTTTTCGTATAGTTGTTTGAATCTGAAGATGTTTGAACATTTATGAAACTACATAGTTGAGAAGTAAAACCTGATTTCCCCTCATGAGTCATAGCTTTCTCTTCCCTAAGCGAGGCTGATGGAAGAAGTAAAGAAGCACAAATATTGGTCATAAATATTGGCTGATAAGCATGAAATGGGGTGAGTGGGTTAGAAAATCCACAGCTGTCCCTTTCAGGCTGCCAGCCAGTTTGACTGCTATGCATTTTATGCTATTCAGCTCCTTTGGTGTCTTTGCAATCTGAGGAAGGAGGAAACTGAACCAGTGTAAAATGAACTGTGGTGTTACAGTTCAGCACAACTGCATCTGTATTCTCCCTTTGTGGTCCAGCAATGGACCCCGTTTCCTAGGAGTCCAGCTCCCATTTGTTACCTCTTTGGAGTAGAGTCCTTCTTCTCTTTCCCATGTGATTGGAGTTTTCTCCAGCCTGCACAATTACCTGCCTACACTATGTTTTTCTCAGCAAACCAGGCTTCCTAAACAGGCCAGTACTGGTACATTACTTTCTCTTTGGAGGCTTATGACCAATGTAACTGCCAGCAGTTATGTTAACACAGCTCTTTATAAGCCAGCACATTTATTCTTACAGTGAAAGCATTACAGTGACAACATATGAAAACAACAAAATAATGTACACACATGCTAGTAAGCTTATACACTAGCGCCTGCACAAATCCCACACTCCAACGAGAACTTTGGTAGGAGTCAGTCCTTCAAAACCCACACACAGGATTTTCTGTGGTTAAAAGTTCATACCAGCCTTAGCTCAGAATATGTTAGTCTTTCTTGGGCCTTTGATCTTGTGATTCCAGGACAGGTAATCAGTAGGCAATCACCCTCCTTTTAGCATGTAGCTTCAAAAGGCTGGGCTTTTGCAAAACTGGAGGTGGGAATTTGCATTTGCCGCCCCCTAAATATTCCCCAGACAAAGCACTTGACATTGCTTGTCCAAAAGTCCACTTTTGCCTGACCCATTTTTCAAAATAGTCCTTTGAAGCTCATACAGTTTCCCAGGTTCAAAGCCCATCTTTCTCCTAAAGAGGTTAAATACAATCCTAGCCCACATTAATATATAAACTTTGCCTTTGATACAATGAACTCCACAGACACTTCAGTTTAATTCAGTAGGGTTTTTCAAGGACATTGCAGGAAATTGCCATATTTTTCATGGTGACTTAATTGAAAACGCTTTAATTTAGAAAATAATTAAAACTGATACACTGAATGCAGTAGCTGATATTATAGTAGTGCTTTAATAAGAAACTTTTTGAGGCACACATCTATAATGCATCATGAAATTAAACTGTGTTACTTTGGAAACACAATACAGGTTGCACATCCCAAAACTGGCACTCTCTGGTCCAGCAACATCTGGCCAGTCTGCTAAAAAATTTACTGGGGGGAAGGAGGGGGGAGAAATGTATGTAGTTTATAGCATTAACCTGTAAGCTTTTGCTTATTGGTTAATCGACTACACTATTCCATCCCTAGCTGGGACCAGGACCGGCGATATCCCCCAGCAGTGCTGGGCCAGGGCCAGAACCCCATGCAGCCTGCAGAAGTGGAGCCAGAGCCTGCAGGCTGCTGGGGCATCGGAGCCAGAGCCCCTGGCAGCCATTGGCAGCAGAGCTTTGGCAGCACACAGCAGAGGGGTTAGGGGTAGCCTGCGGCAGGGTGGGGCCAGGCTTGGACCTGTGGCAGCATGGAGCCGGAGCCCGCAGCAGCCCGGCAGGCAATTTGTCCAAGATCTGACAGCAGCAGGGCCAGCAACTCAGCATGCAGCCCAGTTGAGGTAATGAGGGGCCAAAGGCAGGAGAACCAGCTAGGGCACAGAGGGGAAACTACCCCTGGTCTGGCAAATTCCCTCGTTCGGGACAGGTCAGGTCCCGAGGGCGCTGGATCAGAAGGGTCCAACCTGTAGAAGAACAAGCAAGATGTTAGTCTGAAAAAAATAAGGGCAACTTAAAACAAGCAAAGAAGGGTGGTGGGGCAGAATTAAGCATTGGTTTAAAGTTGAAATGCACACTGGCAGTGACCCAGAGATATGAAGTTGAGCTGTCACCGGCCCATCCCAAACTCATTCTGAAAGTAGTTTACTTATGTAGTCTTTCCCTGTGGAACTCCTATAGGCAATCACAGCAGTTACAGATGAGCAGGAAGTAGATTAGAGTCTGTATGTGATGCAATCCAGTTTACATCTACCTGCCAAGGGGAATTTTTTAAATTAAGCTTTTTACTGGATTCCTATCCGTACATCTTATCCAAGTCAGGCTAATAAAACAGTCTCTGGGATTGCATCTCCTGTGCATAATTCATACTTGTCCTTTCAGTTATTGCTGTCCTGAACATGTAAATATTTTATTTCTCTAGCATTGCTTTCATCATGAGTTCTGAGTTAAATGTCCCGGCGGATCCTGCCACTCCTGCTTGCGGCTCTGAACCTGGCACAAAGGGCATGGATTATCGGGACTGGGTCCGGCGCAGCTATCTGGAATTGGTCACTTCTAATCATCACTCAGTTCAGGCCCTTGCATGGAGAAAACTGTATCTGAGCCGAGCCAAGCTCAAAGCTTCCAGCAGAACATCTGCTTTGCTTTCTGGATTTGCCATGGTATGTTTTTATAGTTGTTAGATTGTGAAATGTTGCGTTCGGTAAAACCTCCTGTAAATAGGGGTTGTTTTCTATACATGGAGCAGGACATCCCATACTTTCCTTATTAGGTGGTGAGGAATTTCTGCATCTGCAGTTTTGTTTGGCTGCTGTTAAAAGTTTTAACACCGAGGTCAGCTCTCTTAAGGCATTTGTTGCAATGCTGTGGTATCAGCTGCCTAAAAATAGTCCCGTGGAGCCCCCAAACCCACGACCCAAAGTATAGGCTAGCCTCTCGCTAACTGGCAGCCAGCAAGAGTCTTTGACATAAACAAAACAACCACATAAAAGTGATAAACCTCCCTTGTCGTGCTCTCTGGATCTCCCTCACTGGTGGCTGGAATTGAAACTCCTCTCCCCATGCATGCGCAGCAGATGTGTGTTGTGGTGAGGAAGCAGAGGAAGTAACACTGCTTAGTAAAGTGCAGACCTGGTATCAGGGCTTTTTTAGTTCCTGAGGGCTTGGCCTTTGCTTTTGTCCATTTAAGGAGGTGTGTTGCATGAGGTGAGAGAGAGAAACATGAAGGGATTTCAGGAATGAAAAGAGAAAAACGGGATCCATGGAAAAATGTTGGTTTGCTTATAGGGGTTTTTTTACATTATAGCAGGGATTTTTCTGGATGTGAGGTGAAGAAGTAGGGGTTATATTTCCTTTTTGCAGTTCACCCCTTCCCTGTCAATATTTTTTTCTTTGTGGGTATTATGTCTGTATAATTATACTTGAAGACTTACCTGACATTGCCTGGGTCCTTCAGGGCAGGGGGCTGGCTGGTGGTGTGGGGGGGTGTGCAGGAATCAGGGCAGGTCCTACAGGTGTGGGGGGGAGGTGGGGTTCAGGACGGGGAGTCCCATCCAACTGGTCTTTCTCTACCTCCCAGCTGCCAGGGGCCTTCTGTCTCTCCCCTCCCAATCTTCCCTCCTGGCCACTAGGGGTTTTGTGTCTCCCCCACAGCCACTCTGGCTGGCATGGGCCTACCTTCCTCCTCCAGCACTTTGTCTAAGGTATGGGGGCAGGAGAAGGTTTGGTTCTGAGGTAGGGATGTAAAGTGTTGTCGATTAACCAATAAGCAAAAGCTTATAGGTTAATGCTATAAACTACACGCATTTCTCCGCCCCCCCCAGTAAATTTTTTTAGCAGGCTGGCCAGCAGCCTGGCTCATTCCTGGCTTGCAACAGGTCTGGGACCTATCCCAGCTGTGACTCTGCATTTAAAGTGTATTAGGAGTTGGGCAGGCAGATAGCCTAGTGCAGTTTCGGCTTGCGCCAGGTCTGGGGGCTCAGACCGCCCTCTTGCCTCCCTTCATGGTCCAGCTCCCACCTGACACTGTGTGCAGCTGCCTCTGATATAGGTGTGTGCGGCTGTTGGGGGGCTTATCCCTTCATCTTCCAACTTGCCTGGTCCTTCTCATGTGATACAGAAGCAGCAGCACGGAGTGGCAGGAGGCTCCTTGAGAATAAGGCGCACTGGCTGCCATCCCTGCCCCCAGGGACTATAGAATAGTTGACTAATTGGTAAGAATTCATGAGGTTACTCAACTGTTCAATTAACCGATATTTAACAACCCTAATCTGAGGAGTACTTATCTGGTCTGGTGACAAGCAAGATGGCAGAACCGCAGACCTGCTGACCACATGCTTGTTGGTGTAGCTGCCCCCAGTGGCCACTCTCTTTATCATGCCCCACCTCTCTGTACCCTTCCCTTTCCATGCTATGGAAAACAGTCCCATACCTGACGCTTCCCATGAGCACTTGTTCCCACAGAGCCGCCTGCAGCCTCCCCCTCCGCCTTGAAAGAGAGGCAGGAGGGGCAGGAGATGGAGGCAGGGGGGGGGGCAGGTAAAAGAGAGGCTGCAGTGCAGGGAAGGAGAGGCAGGTGGGAGCCAGTACAAGCGGGAAGCCGGCTTTTAAGCTGGCTCTCCATGCGTGATGGCTCTACCTGCCTCTCTACCAGAGCAGCCTCTGTCCACAGGGAGCTCAGGCCCCCTGCAGACAGGGGTTGCTGCTGCCCTGCACTACTGCCTCTGTGTCAGTTTTTAAACTGGCTCCCCACGTTGATCAGTTTCACCTGTCACTCTGCACTGCTGCCTCTGACTCATTTGCAAACTTGACACTATTAATCTAGATTTGAGTAGGGACTGGGAATGGCTGACTCTCTACAAAAGCAATTTTCCCTTTCTTGGTAATCATGCCTCCGCATCAGCTGTTGGGAGTGGACCACATCCACCCTGACCAAATTGACCTCCTTAGCACTGGTCCTCCACTTGATAAGGTAACTCCCCTCTTTTCAAGTTCTAGCATATTTATGCCTGCCTTCCACTCAATGCATCTGACAAAGTGGGGTTTTGCACTGGAAAGCTTATGCCCAAATAAATCTGTTAGTCTTTAAGTTGCAACAGGACTCCTTCTTATTTTTTAGAGATCTGCTTGAGACTGTCACCAGATGGTACTGGTTATACCTCTAAGATCTGCCCTCTGGGGTGCTCCACCACCCTGTCCCGCTGAGCCAGAAGTACTCTTCTCTCTCAGCAAAGGCACAGAGTTGGGGTAACTGCCCCCCTGCAGAGCAACACATGTGCTGAACCATCTTAGCTGTGGGTGGGCTCAGTTATAGGGACTTGCCAGCACCCAAGAGTACAACCCTCAAAAGGGACCAAAACCCAGAATAAATCGGTTGTATACTGTAAAAAAGTTTTACACAGAAAAACTCATAAAGTTGTTTGCTTTCTGTATCAATAAAAGAGATTGATGCATAGCTCTGGCTCCACCCATCCCAGATAACAATTATTTACACTAGACTTTATAATAAATAAAAGTGTTATTAAGTATAAAAATTAGGATTTATGTGACTGTAAGTGAAAACAGACAAATCAAAATAAGTTATTAAACCAAAATTAAACAAAACACACCAATTAAGCCTAATACACTGAGATAATGTTACAAATATATTTCTTACCCCTCTGTTTGCTTCAGATAAATTCCTTCAAGTCAGAGTTGATCTTTTTTCTGGCCTGGGTCTAACATTTTTTTTTGGAGTATTCTCTTTTGGTGGGGAGGCAGTATTCAAAAGCCAGCTAAAGATGGTATTGATTGTTTCCCATTCCGTAAATAAATTTCCCCATGGTGGGAACCCTTTGTTTAACTCTTCCACAAACCCATGGAAAAATACCAGATTCAAGTGGGATTCCAATACCAGGTGGCGTGGTCGCATGTTTTTATAGAACCAACTATAGCTTAGGCTTGTAGGAGAAAAAAAATCTTTCACAGATCATTGTCTTGAGCACCAGGCCACTAAGCCCCTTAGTACCACTAATGACTCTCACTAAAAATTCTAAATTAATAAGCAAGTTTACACTAAATTAATAAGCAGGTTTCACATTTCTAACTTCACATACAAGAATGATACATGCACATAAACAGAATGTACATGTTCAGGGGATCACAGGCTCTTGAGCAATAGGTTACTTGGCCTATTTTGACCATATTTGAGTTACACATGTTCATATTCAAAAATCTATTTCCATGAAAAATATGGAGGCAAAGTGTCTAAGACTTGTCTTCCATGAACTTATCTCATTCCTTTTTTTGAACTGTTATATTTTGGGATTTCATAATGTTCACTTGCAATGAGTTCCACAGGTTGAACTTGTGCATTTTGTGAAAGACTTTCTTTTATTTGTTTTAAACCTGCTGCCTATTAATTTGATTGGATGACACCTAGTTCTTTTATATGAATGGATAATTAATACTTCTCTACTGGGGTGCTGGAGTGTACCCCTTGTTTTGAAGTAGTAATAATGACCAAATATGTGGTTTCCGCTTTCAGCACCTCTGCTACAATGGCAGGAGGCTCCTTGAGAATAAGGCGCACTGCCTGCCATCCCTGCCCCCAGGGACTATAGAATAGTTGACTAATTGGTAAGAATTCATGAGGTTACTCAACTGTTCAATTAACCGATATTTAACAACCCTAATCTGAGGAGTACTTATCTGGTCTGGTGACAAGCAAGATGGCAGAACCGCAGACCTGCTGACCACATGCTTGTTGGTGTAAAAGAGAGGCTGCAGTGCAGGGAAGGAGAGGCAGGTGGGAGCCAGTACAAGCGGGAAGCCGGCTTTTAAGCTGGCTCTCCATGCGTGATGGCTCTACCTGCCTCTCTACCAGAGCAGCCTCTGTCCACAGGGAGCTCAGGCCCCCTGCAGACAGGGGTTGCTGCTGCCCTGCACTACTGCCTCTGTGTCAGTTTTTAAACTGGCTCCCCACGTTGATCAGTTTCACCTGTCACTCTGCACTGCTGCCTCTGACTCATTTGCAAACTTGACACTATTAATCTAGATTTGAGTAGGGACTGGGAATGGCTGACTCTCTACAAAAGCAATTTTCCCTTTCTTGGTAATCATGCCTCCGCATCAGCTGTTGGGAGTGGACCACATCCACCCTGACCAAATTGACCTCCTTAGCACTGGTCCTCCACTTGATAAGGTAACTCCCCTCTTTTCAAGTTCTAGCATATTTATGCCTGCCTTCCACTCAATGCATCTGACAAAGTGGGGTTTTGCACTGGAAAGCTTATGCCCAAATAAATCTGTTAGTCTTTAAGTTGCAACAGGACTCCTTCTTATTTTTTAGAGATCTGCTTGAGACTGTCACCAGATGGTACTGGTTATACCTCTAAGATCTGCCCTCTGGGGTGCTCCACCACCCTGTCCCGCTGAGCCAGAAGTACTCTTCTCTCTCAGCAAAGGCACAGAGTTGGGGTAACTGCCCCCCTGCAGAGCAACACATGTGCTGAACCATCTTAGCTGTGGGTGGGCTCAGTTATAGGGACTTGCCAGCACCCAAGAGTACAACCCTCAAAAGGGACCAAAACCCAGAATAAATCGGTTGTATACTGTAAAAAAGTTTTACACAGAAAAACTCATAAAGTTGTTTGCTTTCTGTATCAATAAAAGAGATTGATGC